TCAGCATAGTTATTTTGAGCTTCATTTGTGCTGTTTCATGTATCAATTATTCATTCCTTTTTATTGCTGAGTAAAATTCCGTTGTATATATTTACCACAATTTCTTAACCATTCACTTATTGAAGAACATTTGGGTTGTTTCTGGTTGTTTTTTGGGGGGACAATGAATATTTGTGTTTATTTCTTTAGGAGCAGATCAGCAATTTTTTTCTGTAAAGGTACAGATTATAAATATTTAGGCTTTGCTGGCCATATAGTTTCTGTTGCAACTCCTCAACACTACCCCTGAAGTATAAAAAGAACCACAGTCATTACATAAATGAGTAAGTGTGGCTGTATTCCAATAAAACTTCATTTTCAAAAATGTGTGACTCTTGCTTTAGGGTAAATACTTTCAAGTGGAATTGATGGGCCATATGGAAAGTGTATGTTTAATTTTATAAGAAACTACCAAACTGTTTTCAAGAGCAGCTCTATTTTGCAATCTCACTAGTAACATATGAGTTCCAGTTGCTCCTCATCCTCGTCAACACTTGGTATGGGTAGGTTTTTGTTATTTGTTTTTTATTTAGCCATTTTTATAGGTATACATTCGTCTTCTTTGTGGTTTTAATTTACATGTTTTTTAAAAAGGCTGATGTTTCATGTGCTTGTTGGCCATCAGTATGTCTTTAGTGGAGTGTTTGTTCACATTTTTGGTGCATTTAAAAAAATTGATCTGTTTCCTATTTGTTCAGTTTTGAGAATTCTTGAACCTGAATACAAGTCCTTCATCAGATATGTGGTTTGAACATATTTTCTCCCAGTCACTAGCTTGTCTTTTCATTTCTTAACAATGTTTTTCAGAGCAAAAAGTTTCTAAATTGTTGTTGTCTAATATGTCAACTCCTTTTTTATTATATTTTTTGTTATAGACTGTACTTTTGTTCTTGTATCTAAAAACTCTTCCAGGCCAAATGTCACAAAGATTTTCTCCTATATTTTCTTCCAAATATTTAATATGATTTTATTAACTAAAGTCCTTATCTTTTACATTAGAGTTCTGACTTGTTTATCATACATATCTGTTACTTTGTATCCTTTGATGAAATCTCCCTTTTATGTCCTGCTCATGGTAACCATTGTTTCTCTATCTCTGTATGTTCCTTTTTTTTTTTTTTTTTTTTTTTTTAGATTACACATATAACTCAGGTTATGCAATATTTTTCTTTCTGTGTCTGGCTTATTTCACTTAACATAATGTCTTTCAGTTTTATGCATGTTGTGGCAAATGGCAAGATCTTCTCTTTTAAGGCTGGGTAATATTCCATTGTACATACATGCTGTGTTTATCCACCCATCTGTTGATGGACACTTAGGTTGGTACCATATCTTGGCCATTGTGAATGATGCTGCACTGAAAATGGAAGTGCAGACATCTTTATGAAGTGGCTATTTCATCTTCTTTGGTATGTACACAGCAGAGGGATTGCTGGGTCATATGGTGGTTCTATTTTTAATTTCTTTGGGAACCTCCATACTCTTTCTATAATGGCTGTACTAATTTACATTTCTACCAACAGTGTACCAGGGTTTCTCTTTCTCTACACCCTCACCAACATTTGTTTTCTCTCATCTTTTTGATATTAGCCATCCTAACAGGTGTGAGGTGATATAGTGGTTTTAGCTTGTATTTTCCTGATGATTAGTGATGTTGAGTACCTTATGTATTTGTTGGCAATGTTTATGTCTTCTTAGGAGAAATGTGTGTTCAGGTCCTTTGCTCATTTTTTAATCTAGTTGTTATTTTTTTTTCTGTTATTGAATTGTAAAAGTTCTATATACATTTTGGATACTAACCCCTCATAAGATATGTGGTTTGTGAATACTTTTTTGTTTTAGTTCCATTTTTTTTATTTTTGCTTTTATAACCTGAGTATTTGGCGTGTTATAAAAAAAATTTTTGCTAAGGCCAATGTCAAGGAGCTCTTCCCCTGTGTTCTTTTCTAGGATTTTTATGGTTTCAGGGCTTACATTTAGGTCTTTTATTCATTTTGAGTTGATTTTTGTGTGTGGCATAAGAAAGAGTCCCATTTTATTCTTTTGCATGTGGAGATTCAGTTTTCTCAGCACAATTTATTGAATACACTATTCTTTTATGACTGTTTTCTCTTAGTACCCTTGTTGAAAGTTAATTGACTATGTTTGGATTGATTCCTGGCCTCTCTATTCTGTTCCGCTGGTCTATGTTTCTGTTTTTAATACTAGTACCATACTGTTTTGATTAATATACCTTTAGGATATAACTTAAAACTAGGCATGTGATGCCTCTAACTTTGTTTTTCTTTTTCAGTATTGCTTTGGCTATTCAGGTTTTTGTTTTTGGTTTTTTGTTGGTGAGCAGGGTCCTATACAAATTTTAGGATTGTTTTTTCTATTTCTATGAAGAATGCCACTGGAATTTTGAGAGAGATTACATTTCTGTATATTATGTTCAATAGTATGAAGCTTTTAACAATAGTCTTCTGATTCATAAACACAAGCTCTCTTTCCATTCATTTTTGTTTTCTTCAATTTATTTCATCAGTGTTTTGTAATTTTTAGAATACAAATCTTTCATTTCCTTGGCTAAATTTATGCCTAAAGATTTTTTAATGCTTTCATAAATGGGATTATTTTCTTAATTTCTTTTTCAACTGGGTCTAATTTGCACACAGAAATGCTATTGATTTTTGTATGTTGATTTGTATACCCTGCAACACTAGTGAATTCATTTAGTAATTCTAAGATATTTTGTGAAATCTTTAGGGTTTCTATATGTAGAAACATATAGCACCATGCCATCTGCAAATGGAGATAATTTTATTTCTTCATTTTCAATTTGGGTGCTTTTTACCCATTTTCTTGTCGGATTACTCTCACTAGTACTTCCAGTGCTGTGTTGAATAGAAGTGGTGAAAGTGGGCTTCCCTGACTTGTGCTGGTTCTTAGTTAAATATCTTTTAGTAATTCCCCATTGGTTATGGTGTTAGCTGTAGATTTTTTAGAACAACCTTTATTATATTAAGAATCTCCTCTTCTATACCTAAACTGTTAAGAGTTTTTATCAAGAAAAAAATGCTGAACTTTGTCAAATCTTTTTCTGCATTAAGATGATCATGTGGTTTTTATCTTTCAGTCTATTAATGCAATACATTACCTTTATTGATTTGCATTTGGTAAACTAGCCTTGTATGCCAGGGGTGAATCTTACTTGGTACAATGTACAATTTTTTCCATGTGTTTTGAATTCAGTTTGCTAATATTTTATTGAAGATTTTTGTATCAGTGTTCATCAGAGATATTGGCCTATAGTTTTCCTGAACTATCTTTGTCTGGCTTAGTTATCAAAGTAATGCTGGCCTTGTACATGTGTTTGGAAGTATTCCCTCTAGCTCTGTTGTTATTAAGAGTTTAAGAAGTACTAGTAATAATTCTTTTTTAAATGTTTTTATTATCTTCTGTTTTGAAAGCTATATTCAATTGCAAAGGATTCCAATTGTCCACTTTTTGTCTTTTTGTACTTTCCAGATGATTCTCCACTGTTTTCTAGCTTGCATTGTTTCCCACAAGAAATATACTGTCAGTCTTATCTTTGTTCCTCTGTACATGGCCTATCTTTTAAGATGTGCTTTTAAGATTTCTCTTTATCACTGTGTTTTAGAATTTGATTATGATATGCCTTGCTGTAATTTTCTTCAAGTTACTTGTACCCCAGATTTGTTCAGCTTACTGGTATGATCTGGGAGGTTATAATTTTCATCAAATTTGGAAAAATTTTGACCATTGTCTCTTAAAATATTTTGTCACATTCTGCCCTTTAATGACTCCAATTACATACCTATGTATTTTGCTGTTTGAGATTGTCCCACAGTTCACTGATGCTCTGTTCGTTGTTTTTCAGTTATTTCCCTTGCTGTTTCGATTTGCGTGGCTTTTACTGCTATCTGTTCAAATTCACTAATCTTTGTCCTGCAACCTCTAACTGCTATTAATGCCATCCATGAGGTTTCATTTCAGACATCTCTAAAAGGCCTTTGGAATACGGTTACAATAATAGTTACAGTACATTAACAATAATAAAACAATACTGTTTAATGGCTTTATCTACTAACTTTATTATCTATATAATTTCTGCATCCATTTTGATTAATTGATTTTCTTCTTATTACAGGTTGTATATTTTTGCTTTTTTACCTGCCTGGCAAGTTTTGACTGGATGGCAGAAATTGTATGTTTTACCTTGGTGGATACTAAATATTTTGTATTCCTTTAAATATTCTGCAGTATTTGTTCTGCAATATTCTGCAGTGCAGTAAAGCTTTTTAGAAACAGATCTTTCTGTGCCTTGCCCTCAAGCCTTGTTATAGTGTTTAGTCCAGGGTTAACTTTTTCCTACTACTTAAGCAAAAGACTTTTTAGTTCTCTAACCAATTCTCCATTAGTGATGAGGTTTTCCACTCTGGCTTGGAAGCAGGAGTTATTCTTGATCCTGTGTGATCTCTGGGCACTATTCTCAGCAATCCTTTCCAGCTCCCACCCCATCCCCTACCCCAGCCAAGACCTCAGGTTGTTTTTTTAAATATGTGTTCTGATCAGTACTCAACTGAGTACTTGAGGGGGACCATTGGAGTCCTCTCTCTGTATAGCTAAAACCTTTCCAGTACCCTGATCTTTAAATTCCAGCCACCTCGTGGTCCTTAGATTCCCAACCTTGGATATCTTCAACACAAAGAGATCACTGTCTCTGCCTGCGTTCCTGCTCCCTACATCACAGTCTGGAAACTTTCTTTAGGCAGTAATCTGGGGCACTCATGGGGCTCATCTCATTTATTCCACATCTCTTATGTATCACTGTTCTTTGTTAACCAACATGTAATGTCATGGGAGATGTGCAATGTTCAATGTCAATGTTTCATACATATATGGATGTTTGGGTTTTTTAGTTGTGTCACACAGGAAGATAAATCTGGTCTCTGTTACTTCATATTGGTCAGAAGTGCAAGTGCAAGATCTGGGCTCCATTTCTCTTCTATTTCATTTTCTTTTCTCTACTCAGAAGTCTTGAATGCTGCAGTAGTTTTAGATATGGAATTGGAAGAACTCTGTGGAAACAGCCTCTGGCCTATAGCCCCTGAGAATGTGTTTGGCTAATTTGTAAGGCTCCAGCATGGCAAGGGCCAACCTTCTTGCAGCTCTTATCTTTCCCATTTGGCCTCACGCTATAGGCCCTGACCTTGACCTTTATATTTTTGGAGTTGCTGCCAGGCTATAATCCTATCCAAGACTGACATAGGTGTGCTCATGTTGCTGACAGTGCTGTAAGTGAGCAAGGTTCTATTTGTTTTTTCCTGAGGCCTCTCTCTGGCTTGCAGATGGCCACCTTCTTGCTGTGTCCTCACATGACCTCCTCCTTTGTTGACTATATAATGAATGATGCAGTGATTCTGTCACATATGGTGACTATGTATGCACATCTCTGGTGTCTCTCCTATGCCCGAGTCTCCTCTTCTTATAAAGACACAAGTCAGATTGGATTAGAGCTCACGCTAATGACCTCATTTTAACCTACTGACCTATTTGAAGGATCTGTCTCCGAATATAGGCACATTCCGAGATGCTGGGGGTTAGGGCTTCAACATGTGAATTTGGGGAAGACATATTTCAGTCCACAACAAGCAGAATGTTGATCATTGAGTCTCTATGATAGATACATGAGAGTTCATCATATATTTCTCTCTACTTATGTGTTGTGTTTAAAATTTTTCATAATGATAGAGTTAAAAATACTGTATACTTGAGCTAACTCATGGAAAAATTTTGCTGAAATACATATTTCTTCGTGAAAATGTTTTATTTATTGTCCTCTTGTGACATGCTCAACACACTTGCATACACACACACTCACACCCACAAACACACATACACACTCCTACATATAGCATTGTAACCTTAAGCACTCTAAGTTCTCTAAGTTCTCGGAGCACACTTACCTCTGTCCTGTGTGGCACCGTATCTCAAGTACCGTCAAAACTGGCTTTGACAACAATAATCACAATGGTAGTTAGCATTTAGATATTGAAAAGAGATTACACGTATTTTTCACGTATTTTCCATTTGAGCGCCTGGAAGGCAGGCAGTGTGGGTGATAGTATCCTCAAGGCAGGGTTGAGGAAAGGAGCTCCCGGGCCAGCAACTTGCCTCCACTCCCCCAGCTGATGTTTGCAATGCCATCAAGTGCCAAGGCTTCTGACTCCAACTACAGGGAATTTCCCTGTGGGTATGTTCCCCTCATGATGGAACAATCAGTTGTAACTCTCGTATTATTTTTCTCTATATACATTACAAAAAACTATGGTTGAATGATTATACCTCTGGAAATGACCCCTTTAAATTGCTGTCAGTTTGTATTAAATGTTACTGCTTCAAACTGGCACTTTCATCTATCAGTATTGAAACCTGCTTTCATGTTTAGCTGATTGTGTTTAATTTATGAAATGCTGAGCCTTATGATGTTTTTATCTTTTTGGGAAGATTGAATTTATAAAATGGAAACACAGGTCAAATTTATGCTGTGTAGTATGTTTTGCTTTTTAATGAAATAGGAACTTTTTTTCAGTTTTCTTTTTTCTTTTATTTATTTATTACATTTTAGGTTTTGGGGTACATGTGAAGAACATGCAAGATTGTTGCATAGGTACATACATGGCAGTGTGATGTGCTACCTTCCTCCCCATCGCCTGTATCTGGCATTTCTCCCCTTCATCTTTGTTAGGAATACTGCTTTCTCAGGTCTATTAATTATCTTGATATGAACTGAAAAACTGTTCATTTCAAGGGAAGGCTGCGCTATAAATAAGGAAAATCTTTTCCGTGAACTTTTTACCTTCAAGTCTTTCCTCTGAAATATACTTTCATCGTTTTACTTCAAGAAACAATTTAAATGTACTACAAGAGTTCAGAATGATTTTTCCCTGTGGATTAGAATGCCGAGTTCTCCTTTCTAAATACCATGTGCAATAGGATGAGCTATTAGTAAAAAGGAAACAAAAACTATTATTTTCCTTCTTGTGAACGATTTCCTTTCACACCCCACCCCCATCCCAGAAAAGAGAGAGCTGACCTTGCTTCCTGGAGGCGGGGCTTCTTTCCCTCCTGCCACCCTTACCCACCAGCCTTCTGGGTGGAGCAGTTTAAGGGTTTCTAGGTCACTGATTTGGATTAGCTTGGATTGGTCCAAAGGTAGATAAGGCAAGGGTGGACAAACCCAAGAGACAGAAAGTCATCTTCAGAAAAAGGGGAAATGATGAGGACTGAGGGTTTCCTTCAGTGGCAGGCCCAACTTGCATGCACTAGACAGATAAGGGATGTCTGGACAATGGCTGTGGCACTGGACATCAAGTGCCCTGAGAGTCATCAGTGAGGGTCTCTGTGGCCATGCCTGAGGTTGAGGAGAGAGCCATGGGAAGGGGCACCTATAAATGTACTCAGACAGCACGCTCAAGGGATAGGGCCAGGCCAGGCACAGCACAGCCATGTGGCGTAGCAAAGGGAGTGTCAGCAAAAATGACAATCACAGTGGACTACCAGCTTCTTGCTCTGTTTATATCCTATCCATTCACTCATTTATTGTTGGCCTACCTGTCTGGTAAGTTTCTTATTATTTGTTGACTGTGTAATGAATGATTCAGTGAGTTTTCCAGCTATTATTTAAAGCTTGTCAATTCTTATTTGATAACAGAGAGGGTTCCAAAACATGTCTAGTTCAAATTTCTTGCCATCCGGTGATTCCTGTTGATATGGTTTGGATCTGTATCCCCACCCAAATCCTATGTTGAATTGTAATCCCCAATGTTGAAGGTAGGGCCTGGTGGGAGGGAATGGATCTAATGAATTTGGTTTCTAATGATTTAGCACCACCCCCCAGTACTGTTTTCATGATGGTGAGTTATTGTGAGATCTTGTTGTTTAAAAGTATGTAGCACCTCCCTGCTTTCTCTCTTGATCCTGCTTCACCATGTAAGAGACGCCTGGCTTCCCATTTGCCTTCTGCCATGATTGCAAGTTTCCTGAGGCCTTGCCAGAAGCTGAGCCAATGCCTCCATGTTTCCTGTACAGTCTATGGAACCATGAGCCAATTAAACCTCTTTTCTTTATAAATTACCCAGTCTCAGGTATTTTTTTATAGTAGTGTAAAAATGAACCAATATCCCTGTTTATATGTCAAGCCTTAGTAGCAGTGATACTCCCTGTCTCTTGTTGCAGTGATACAGGTCCTTTGAGTAGCTCTGGTACTCTTTTTGTTATGTCACTTCAACACTTGAATTCTTTAGAAGATACTAGTAGGCAAAGAAATTTGTTCATATCTTCCAGATCTTTGTATCACTTGGAATGCTTTTGGTTGTGCTTTGGTTATCTATTGCTGCATAAACAAACTGTAAAACTTAGTGTTTTAAAGCAATTTGTTATATCTCTCATGATTCTACAATTTGATGGGGCTCAGTTGGGTGATTCTTCCTTGGTATATTTTGTGTGGTTGCAGTGAGATGACACCTTGGGCTAGAGTCATCTAAAGACTTAACTGGGCTGGATTTCTCAGATGCTCATTCATGTGACTAGCAGTCGATGTGGCTGTTGGTGACAAGGACTCCCTACTTGAACAAACTATAGGCTTCTCCAAGTCCTCTTCTCTACCAGACCTCATCCTTGGCCTCTTGTTCTTGGTCTGCCCAGCCTAGTTTTATCAAGAATCCTGCCACGCCAGTTTAGCAAGAATCTTCTACCTTTACAGCTTATCAAGTTTACCTTATTAATTTTCCATACACTGACTTCCTTATCTTGCCCATTAGCTATAAACTCCCAGTTGCTACTTATCCTGCCCATTAGCTATAAACCCCCAGTTGTATTCAGAGTTCAGTTCCATCTCTCTTCCCTATTGTAGTAATCTTGAATAAAGTATTTCTTGCCTACTTAACCTATTTGGTCTTTGAAGCTGGCTAGGAAGTAAGCTTGGGCTATAAACTAGAGTACCTATTTGTTTCCTCTCCTTGTTGCTTGGGCTTCTTACTGCATCGCGGTCTCAGGATAGTCAGATTTCTTACATTGCTGCTACTGTCTTTCAGAGGGAGCCTTCAAGAAGACTGTATAGATGCCAGGCATGGTGGTTCATGCCTGTAATTTCAACACTTTGGGACGTTGAGGTAAGAGGATTGCTTGAGCCCAGTAGTTTGAGACCAGCCTGTGCAATATAATGAGACCTCATCTCTAAAAAAAATAAATAAGTAATAAAAAAAGCTATATGAGAGTTGCAAGGCTTCTTATGACCTGAGCTCGTAAGTATCCATTGTATTTTATTGATCAAGCTAGCCACTAGGGCCCACCTGGATTCAAGGGGAGAGCAATTGGACAACACTGCTCAATAAGAGAAGTAAATAGTTTATGGACATCTTTAATCTACCTTAGGCTACAAGTAATAAAAGGAAAACATGCCAGAAAGTGGTCTAAATAATAAGACTTATTATACTGCATACCTAGAAGTTTGAAGGTAGGGCAATGTTTTTTGCCCTACCTTCAACTTGCCTCGAATGTCAACAGAAACACTTTTATTTATGCCATCCTCTTTTGCTGATTCCCACAATGGCTGCTTGGTTACAAATGATCTTATGAAGCAAGAATATCCAGAGGTAGACAAAGGGGAAATATTTGTTTTTGCTTTTTATTTTTTTAAGAGTAATGAAAACCTTTCTGTAATCATCCCAGTTGATTTCCCCCCACTCATAACTGAACAGAATTATATAACACATTCGTATTTAAACCATTCAACTTGCAAGAGAATAAAACAACCATGAGTGGCTTGACTCTGTCGTGATTCAGTCCCTGGGCGGAGGGTAACCTCAATAAGAGAACATGGTTACTCAGAGAAAAATGAACAAAATTCGGGGATGAAGGTTGTGAACCATCTCATTTCATATTAAATCCTTTCTTCTCCCTTTTGTTGGTCAGCATCTAAATCATCAGGGTATAAGGTTGTCCAGTTCCTTCTTAACATTTCTAGGATTGAGGACTACAAAAGATTTTCTCAATAAACTATTTGTTTACATTTGATTATCAAACAATACTTGCTTTTGTACAATTGACACTCAAGTTTATTTACTTCATTTTGGACTTTGATAGGCAAGTGTGATTCTAATAGGGTCAGAATCCAGAGGAAGAGGTACAAGAGCAACATTAATTTTTTTCATGTACCTTTTATGAGCACCCTACTATGTGCCAGGCTCTTTGGCAGGTGCTGTGAAAGATACACAGATTGATATGACGCGATTCCTTGTTTCCACATCAAACTAAAAAGCTTCTACACAGCAAAGGAAAGAATAAAACAAAAAGGCAACCTACAGAATGGGAGAAAATATTTGTACACCATGTACCAATAAGAAATTAATATCCAAAACATACAAGAAATGCATATAACTCAATACCAAAATAACTGATAACCTGGTTAAAAATGGACAAAGGATCTGAAAACGCATTTTTTCCTAAGAAGATATATAAACAGCTGACAGGTATGTGGAAGGATGCTCAACATCACTAATCATCAGGGAGACACAAATCAAAACCATAAGCTATCATCTGACACGTGTTATGACAGTTATTATCAAAAAGTCAAAAGATAACAAGTATTTGCCAGGTTGTGGATGAAAAAAAACTCTTGTATGCTGTTGGT